AAATAAAACAGCCTCACCCCGTCCGCGGAATAAAATTGCGAGACCTCTCGCTGATGTAGAAATCTAAGAGCCATAGTAGGTTTTCGTTTTAGTTGTCTTTGAGGTAAAGTCAAATCTCAAAATACTTTCAAGAAAGACCACACCAAGAATGTATTGTTTTAAATCACGAGGAACTTTGCGCACACCAGCATTGACGGGTGAGCGACTCGTTATTTGGATTTATCGCACCTTTGCGATACAATTCATTCTACTCTTCTCTTTCTCACGAACAGATGTTTTTTAAACTGAAATGTTTAGTATTGAACTTAATATGTTGAAGTATTATATCTTCTTTACCTTTCGTCTCTTTTTTAGAGCTTTTGGGTGGCATACTTCTGAAGACGTCACACACTGTAGTAGAACAAGGCCTACACCTATAGTCATTGTGATGATTTTTGTCCTTTTATACTGATCCAAAGCATCGAAATTCGTATGATATGGCTTGTTATTCAACACTCTTTGTTGATTGTTCAATCATATGTAGGCCGCTCACTATTGCTTAAAACATATGGACGATGAGGAAACGCAAATAGAATCAACGCAAGTGTCAAAAAGAAATGAGGAAAAACAGCACTGCGCCTCTCAAATGAACGGATGAGCAGTTAAAAATAAAGGTTGTCTTCTTGTCACTGTGCTCTCTTTGTCCAAAAAGTATCTTTTCACTTTTGACATGTATTGTTTCATACATGTGTCGCCTTCATGGCTTCCTCGTGATATCTATACTTTCATAGTGTCCAACTTTTCAGTTCACTAAAAAATGTAGATGGAATAGGATATAAAATAAATTGCTTACATATATTGAAGAACTAATTCAAACAAAGACAACTTGTTTTGTGAAACGCTCTCTATGGAGAAAATCATTTGGTGTCCCACAGTTGTCACATCAACTAGGGGCCATAACAAGGACATAAAACACAAGAAAAACACATATGTTGGTTTAATTAATTTTATTTTAAATATTTATATACGTACAGTACAGTTTGGGCTACCTGTGGTATTACATAGGTATACCGATATAACATATTTGACGGTTAGACGTTGACGGGTAGTCATGAATACATATAAAAATTTCTCGGCAAGAGTGACTGAACTGGCGTATTTTCTTAAGGTGAAAGTGCTTTTTGATATCCAATTCTTCACTTATTTTGACTGATACAYTTTCTACAAAGTATTTGTTAATTTCSGAGCCAGCGTTWATATTAGACAGCATACATCTGAGAAAATATTTTTGTCTATTGGATCTGTGTTGTCGGTGTCATCACGGTGTTCGTTATAGATGTGATGTGAATTGTTTGAAGAGTCGTTTCAAAATACAGTCCTGATCAATGTATGTCCATACATGCATGCCAGAAGTTTTGTGACGCATTGGTAACATTTCCATGCAGATATTCCTCCTGAGATGTCCATAAGTACGTAAGATTAAATCCACTGATATTTTCATTAACAAGTAAGAACTTAATATCCATGATTGTTCCAACGTTGTCCAAATTGGTATTGGATAGTTAAAAGCCAATAACTATTCCCARTGCAATCCAATATACTACAATTTATTCATTGTGGTAATATTGAGTTTCAGCTGTCCAAAATGTCTGGAATCGAAATACAGAAAAAAAAGAGCACTTTGTAAAATATATTGTTATAAGAATTATAACTTAATTGCTAATACTTACCATTACGTTGAGGAAACAAATACTGGGACTGTTATAGGACAAACTGTTAGCATACCCTTCCCCTCACCCTCCCCCTCGACAATGTCCTCACATAAGGAAGTGTACAACAAATGCAATATAGTGCAAATTGCTGAAAAACGTCAAAATATAATTATAGTAATTATTCAAAACAATATACAATGTTATGGTGGGCACTAGCGGTAAACTAGTGTGAGCTGCGTCAGTCTTTTTAAGGGTGTACTGACATATCCGCTGCTAGGGAAATTCAGTAGTTCTCTAAAATGACAAACAAAAGTAAAATCCCTTTCGTATTGAGTATTAAGCCTTCCCAAACAAAAATAACACATTCTATGACGTCATTGTATGACGTCATCGCGTGACCTCATTAATACGAAAAAATGCTATAATTTCATCAAGCAAAGTATATTAAACGATTTGAAATGGATGAAATTCATCTTTAGATTTAAGTCCGTAAAGCCAAGCATGCGTGTTTAGAATGATTGCCGAATAAGCTTTTTACGATTTTTTAAATGCCACATAATTTTTGATTTTTCGCCAAACCCATGCTTGCTTCTGAAGAGGAGGATGTGAAGAACATAAATATTGAAAAAACACGTCCATTTGATGTTTCGCACTGAAGATTATATTTTTTAAATGATACTATACATTTTATGTAAACAAAAACCTTTCTACCGGAAGTAAAACTTTTCCCGTCATGAATACGGTCGCGCGCCCGCTTCTCCGATTGGCTAGCATCGGCTAGCATAGCAACCAGGTTGTCTAGAAACGGATACGTCAGTACACCCTACACGCCGTAAAAATGTATGTGAAATTTTCTGACGTTTTGGACGTTAATCCTTCGTCGCAGTAAATACAATAATGTCATTGCATGCTGTGTGAAAACCCAAATTTATAACAATTTTTCTTTATGACATTTTTAATGTTTGTTTAAACCACGTCAAAAACATATATGAAGTTTTACAGTATTATATATACTTATATGTCTTGAAACAAAAGCCAATTTTGTTTGACTTTTGGTGAGTAGGGAAAAGGAAACATTTCATACTAGATTACTCGCATCAGCTATACATTTTTAATGAATATTGGCTTGTGGTCACTGTAATAGGACCTTAAAACGCCAGAGTATATAGTATCTAGTTGAATGTTTGTGTATATATGGTCCAGTGTTGATTTATAATTTGTTGTATATTGTTGTATTAACTGTGTGTATTTCTTCTCAATAATCAAGATTTTTTTGGTATCAGGTGAGCTCTCTCTGATATTGACATTAAAATCTCCAATAAATATTTTTGAGCATGAATTATTAAGATTGTGTACATCGTGAATGTACTTTAGAGCTTAGATAATTTTCTTATAGTGACTAAACTACTTGATCGATAAATTCCTATTATATGTAACGACATGTCATTGTAATGCAAGGTCATAAAAGTCATAAAGTAAAGGCTGGGATATCAAAGGTTTCATCTGCATCTCTGAGACATAAAGCAGTTTCTACAAAAATATTTATGTCTGCTGCTTGAACATTATAATCACTTCTGATATCTTCAATATGAAGATTAAGGGATCTCACATTTTGAATAATACTGTTAATGCAAATGGTTCACCAAATTCAAACAAAYTAGGCAAATTTGATTTTAGGGTTGCTTCAGTTCTTAGACGATGCATTTCATATTGAACAGCTTGACTTACTGTCATCTTGTTTTCATTAAGGTTAAGGATATGTAAATTGGAGCTGTTTCTAACACAGCTCAATCCTACGTAGTGCATGTGCTGTATAGTTGTAGATGAAAAATCTACCACTGCGTCCTTGGCAACGATGGATAGTTTTAGATGCTGCTGGACGTAGAGGAAACTGTTTCCTTAGAACTTGTGCTTGAGTCTGAATTGTCTAGATATTTCAAGAATGGGTGTCCATGACTTATCAATATCTTTATTGTACAGATGACTGTACTCTTTCCTATTATTACTACCTATTGTATTTTTTGAGAATAATACCCATATAATGTTTGCAGCAATGTTTACAACTGAAAACAATCCCATTGTTTTTGTTTTTTTAACTTTGCTTTAAGTGAATCACTTACATCACCTATTATGATATCCACAGCTTTTATTTCAGCTTTGTGATTTTTATTAGTAGAAAATATTCAGTTGTTATGTTCATCTACACTTGCATTTTTCACAAAAGATGTGTTGTAGTCATGGGATAATTGGCACTTGATGGATTTTCTTTTAAGATTCTTTTTTTTAAAGATTTTTATGTCATCTTGAGTATGATTGCTTTCTCTCAACCGATTCAAAAGTTCAGCAAAATTTTTATCATCTTTTTGTCTCATAATTTCTGTCAACTAAAACATTTTAAAGATTTTAAATAATCTTGCCACATGTTATTAGCTAATGGTCCATAATTATTGCCTTTTGATGCTTCAAATATCCAACTGTCTAAAACTGGTTTTAGTTGGAAACTAACAGTTATTAAACTAACATGTCCAAATGGCTCGTGTGATCCCATCATTTGTTGCAAACGCAAGTTTAAGAAATTGAACATTCCACTACCAACCATAGAAATTTCATCACAAAATWTGACTTTGAGCTTGCCTAATTGTGCTATTATGGTGTTGAGTCTATCTCTATCAAGTGTACAATAATCAAAGCCTCTATTTGCTGGAATTTTAAAAGCTGAWTGAAGAGTATTTCCCTTAATGTTAAAGGCAGCTTTGCCAGTACGAGCAACTTTAATAACCTTTATGTCATCAGGGTTCTCACCAGGAACAGTGTTGAAATAATTAATAAGGGCTTCATATAAAGCATTTGTAACTGTTGATTTTCCTWTTCYGGCACCTCCTGTCAAAAATAGTGYTAACTGTTCATCTTTARTTTTAAAAGAATACTACTATATGATCACTTATAGACACTTTTTACTGAGCCCGCGATCAACCGGTCAGCGGAAGGGGGTGGGAAATGCGTAATGTTCGTATAAATTAAAAATCAGGGACCCAAAAGGAGGAAAAATTAATATTCATGAACCATCATTGAGAGACCAAAACCCGAAAAAAAATATTCCTAAATCCCAAGAAAAAAAAGCAATAGTAAAAAACAGGGATTACATGTAAAACCCCTTTCAGATCCGTTCCCCGCACTTATTCTGCATCAGTTTTTTTTACCCTGATTAGTTTGCATTCTATTGAACAATGTAGCGGAGATCAATAAACGATACTTTATGTTTCATTTAATTCACTTTATTAACTTATAATAACAATTAAAACTAGGGACTTCGAGCGTGACGAGCGGTCACGTTTTGTTGAGCTCCCTGATCAATCTTCTAAATTTTACTTATGAACGAGATCGAAAGCATATAAAATGGCTAAAGATGACTTACAAAAACAACTGAAGAAGGAGAACGATGAATTGAAAAAAGAAATCGCAAACTTACGAGAGGAATTCAAAAAACTCGAAGACAAGATGGCTTCGGCCCCGGAGTCTAGAGAACTCGAGAATAGTGTTGAGTTCTTAAGTGGCGAATTTGACAGCATGAAATCCGATAAGTCCAGTCTCCAACAAGATCTCCTCCTTCTTAAGGAGAAACTTAACGTGATAAGCACCAGAGTCGATCTTATTGATGAAACCATGGAAAGCCTACTGAAGTACAGCTATCAGTATAATCTGAAAATAATGGATGTACCACGAGCTCAGTCCGGTACCTTTGAAACTGCAGACCAATCCATTGAGATCTGCCTAAATATCTTTCGGGAAATGGGGCTAAATATTTTACAATCAGATATTGATATTGCCCANCTTTTTTATCTCGTCTTCGGCGAAGACGTAACAGTGGTACCAGAGGGCGTGGTTTTCGTAGAATAGGCTCGGCCAGTAATCGAARTTGTTGTTGTTTACCTTCTGCGTACGTTCAATGCGTACTTCTCTACATTAGGATGGTTTCGAAGCCGGTCTTTTTGAAATAGCAAGATGACTTCTTTAGTCGACCGGTTGCAGGTTGAGCAAAACAACTCCAGCTATTGAATTCTTTCGAACACACTCTGATATGGCTTTTTGGCGTGGAAGTGACAGCTTTTGTTAAAAAAAAACAATAAATAAATGTACCGTATAAAATAAAATTTACAAAACGTATATATTGGTATAAAAGGCAGTCATAGTGATTCTGGAAGATAAAAGTAGTGCTTGTGCTTTTTCCACCAAAGAGATAACGAGAAAAAACAAATTCAACTTGACGAATTTATAGCTACACATAGATATAATACTGAAAATAGTTATAGAATCGATTCGTATTGCTCTTTCTTTATTTCTTTTTATAAAAGCCGTTAGTTTATCATTTTCAAGGCAGTTTGTAAATAAAAACCTCGCATTATGGGGCGTCACGCCATGGATTCTTAGCATATTACACAACACTTACACAGGAATTAATGTATTTATGATTTGAAAGGATGCTTTTGTATATCAGCTTGCTATATATTTTTCAAATGGTAATTATAAGTTATATAAATAACATGATATAAATAAATAGCACTCACATATAAAAAAAGACGGACATGACCCTGAGTAGCCTATTGTCGGTTTTCATTGGCTTCGTATAAACTTTGTTTCATGGATTAGAGTCACATTTTCAAGTTAAGCTCCAGCTCCACTTTGCTGTTTTCACAGTTATATCGTTRTAAATCTCTTAAAGAAAAAATGCGGAAAAATGCTTATCCCCTAGAGATCTTGGATAAGTGTGTTCACAATTACTTAGTTAAACAACATCTCTCTATAMATGATAATGATGTCAGTAACATTGATAAACCTAAGGATCATTTCTTTAAGCTACCGTACATTGGAAAAATTTGCTCAACGAAAAGTGAACAGTCTACTACCTCAATCTTGCAACAACATTAAYATTAAACTAGTGTTTAACAACTTCAAGACCGGTAATTTCTTTAATGTGAAGGACATTGTCCCTAGAGGGTTACAAATTTGGGTTTATAAATTTGTTTGCGCAAGCTGTTCTGCTGTTACGTGGGAGTCGATGGTGGTCCATGTGCCATAAAACTGCTCTCGTTTTCGTATTGAAAACAGACRTCCAAACTTTCTGTTGCACACTTTTTGCAAAGTGGGAAATACAACGTACCGTTGATTTTCACAGGCAACACTGGGAAATATAATTTCTCTGGGGCAAGCACTTTATCAGACCAAAATATTGATTTAACTCAATCAACGTTTTCTGTAATCAATCTTGGGTGACCAATAGGGCAAATTTTTGTCTTGTTCATATATGGATAGAGATTTATAAAATCGAGATACGAGATCTTCTGTCCAGGCTTGGCTTTGCAATACAGCCGAGCGGGAGACACTCTCCCTCCCTCTCAACGGGGGAAAAAACCGCGTTACATCACCGCAAGGAACTACAAAAACTACAACACCGCGAATTTTGCCAATGACATTGACAATGTTTCATTCCATATTACTGAGATCTTTGATGAAATCGACGACAAATTAAATGCATACAATCTTCTATTTACTCAAGTTTTTGATGCTCA